AAACAACCATGAATTGATCGTTCAATCTTCAACTCCATTGACAGTGTTTCTAATCCTAGGGTGTCACATCTAGTGGAGTAGTTCGCACCATTTTTGGTTCCGAGTAATTTTGACGTGAAGTACCTCTGCACTCCCTCGACTTTCAATTTGTCCTCTATGCGTATACTACTATACATGAATGAACAGTAATCAAATAAAGGACGCACACAAACCTTGTACAATAGAATTCTGGACTCATTTCTGTAAATGTTCCTGAGTAGAAAGCCGATAAGTCTGCATGACTTTGACACTTGTTTGGAGGTATGTTCAGAAAATGATAAGTCATGTGAGTATTTCAGTCCCAGATCCAATACAGGTTCCGGTCGTAGGAGTGCATGGCCTTGAATTGTCAGGCCAAGTTCTAAATTGTTACGACCTATGCAGAGCCAGCCACATTTGTCGACATTAAACTGGAGTTTCCAGGTGTCACACCATCTATCCATTTTTTCCAATTCTTGCTGTATGGCGTTTACTGTTATTCCGAGATCTGTGTTCTCACATTTATAGGTCACTTTTAAGTCATCTGCATATAGTATTGGTTCACCAACACTAAAGCATTCACAGATAATGTTTATATATATTATGAATAGGAGTGGGCCTAATACACTTCCCTGGATTACACCACTACTTACAGGTTTAGGCCTTGAGATTATCGAGCCAACTTTTGTTATCCGATTCCTGTCACGGAGAAATGATTTTATCCAGCTCAGGAGAGGGTCACATATCCCTAGTGAGCATAACCTGTAGACTAGCAGATTATGGGGGACTCTATCGAAGGCTTTTGTTATATCGAAATATAGCACAATTACTAGTTCTCTGTTGTCCCTGCTTCGTGTAACTTCGTTGAAAACGTCTATGTGACAGGTCGCGCATGTTCACTTTTTGAGGAATCCGTGTTGTGATGGGTTGATAAGTTCTTGTTCTAGTAAGTTGTCTGACACTTGGTCAAGGGGATGCCTTTTAACTGGAAGGCGCAAGTCGTCATCGATGTGTGAGATTGTGCTGTGGGTATGCTTGTGGTGTGTTGGCTTTTCTGTTTGTTTTCCGTTTCAGCTCTGTCCGTGTGACCCAGGTTCTCGCAATGGCATCCAAGTCAACGTGCATTGGTCGTGAAGGAAAAAGGTATGGATCCCTTTTTTGACGGAGAGTGTCAATGTAGTTGAAGATTGAACGATCAATTCATGGTTGTTTGCTGCAACTAAACTTCCCTTTTTTAAAACCTAATTTTAAAGCTGCCTATATGTTGGTGTTACAATAAAGAATTCTCGAGTAGCCAATCGGTGTTTTGGTTCTGCGTCCGTTATTACTAAGCGTTTCTGAGAAACTTCAAAGAACAGCGTGAGTCCCAGTGTAGCAAGAGCTGGGCATTGACGGCTTACGAGACGTGGCTGACAACCTCTCTCATTCTAGTCTGCATGCTCACGGCTGACTGATCCCCTAACTGGATGTTACAAAATAATTCACCCTGACGATGTTGATGCGGGATAACGTTTCTCCTGAGGAGGGATGCTCTCAGCAACTCACACGAGTTTCTTACCCCTAGACTCGACATCTTCACAGTTAGGCATTAGCTGAATTATCGAAGTAGGGCGTGAATAACTGCGAGAAACTGTGGACGTTGATCGGTTATCGCATGCTCACGAAAATCAGGCTCAGCTATCTGAAATCATGTTTCAGGATTATTTAGCCAATATGGTACCAGCTGAATGGTTTCGGCAGTTGAGCGAATACGAATGACCTTGGGACTAGGATCACCCATGACGAAACTTATACCGATTACAATATAGTACAATAAGAAACACAAAATGGAACGAACTCACCGGGTTTATCTGCATTTTTATCGAAGATGAAGTTCGCAGTTGGGCTCACCAGTTTAGAGGCTGACGGTACTGACGTTCGCGAATTGTACGGAGTACAATTACTAAAGATCTGATACCAACTTCTTCTTTAGTATTCGTTACACGTGGACCAAAGGCAAAGCAAAACAACAGAATTGGTCGTCCGAATTACGGGATATATTTCGGGACCAAAACGGATTGCCTGATGAATGCTCAACTGGCTAGTGATCGTGCACGAACGTGACACGACGGTGCACCAAAAGGGCATAGATGCTTGAGGGGAAGCCTTCAATTAAGCAAGTCGACCTAAACAGTTAGGGACAGCATCCAGTGTTCAGTGATGATTGCTGTAGTCAATAATCTAAGGGGATTTTTTAACGCTACAAATTCAACGAAAAGAGGTTGGAATATTCTGTTAAAGCGAAGACTTTCCGACTTTTGTAAGCGAACATGTGAGATTTCAGTCCATCCTAAACGACTTTATTGTCTGAGTGGCTGAATTATTATTCCTCCTACATTAAGACCTGCTATTTTCGATGACCTTCATTCGGCTTCTCTGGGAGCTAATAAGATCGTTAGCACGTCTAATGTGTTATGGGCTAGAAATTGGTGTTGACATTAATAACAATATTGTATATTTTCCTATCTCTCTGACAAGCCTGGTTCAGTAGATCTCCCAATTGGTAGTAAAACTCATCCTTAATTGAATCTGGACTACAATCCATCGGTGCACTGACAGCGACAACAAATAGAAACCGCTTTTTGCTGTCGTATAAACTTCCAGCCTCACAGCACATAAACGACTTTTAGTGGGGATCTAGTCGAGTAATGCAGCTTCGTCTCTAACATTTAGTGCGTCACCGACACCAGCTACACCGGATCCCGATACCACAGGGTCCCCGGACAGGCGTAGGTGGTACATACTATTCGAACCTTCAGATGGAGGGGATAATCGAAGCACTTCACTGGGATTTTGAGTGTGGGTCTCCGAAATACAGTAGAGAACGATAGCGAGGCTTTCCAATGCTCTTACCGAACCTAGCTGTTGTTCGATTTGCATTAGTGTTCGAACATTATAGGTGACAAGCTTGGACGTGGCACATGGTTTCAGGAAATTTATGTTGGGTGTCGCACTGGGGACAACCATTTCGAAAGCTTCTCACTGAAATCTAGAAACGCACTGATAGGCTTGGAATTCAGGCAAAAGGGAAAGGCTGACTAAAGTAAAGATGTCAAGGATAGCAAAAGTAAGACACAGGAGTCTATGCATAAAATTAAGGTTATAAAGAAATGCGTCACTTGAAACATCATTATTGTTCGAGAGCACTATAAAGAGCGGGTGATTAATTCCACTGATAGTTCCTTGTTTCATTTCTTTGATATTGTGAGGGCTGCCTAGGCGCCCAGACCGAAGCAGGTGGTTGTCTTAAGGGATCACCCCGCGAGTCTTTGACATGGTGCCTAATATGCAAGGCAGCGAAGCAGAGTCAGGAGGTACTTTCCAACAGTTGCCGGTGACCAATACAGGTTCATACGCCATTTGTTCCGGTTGGATTCTGGAGCTCATTTACTCCATAGTGACTGCTTTTAGTCTAACTGCTATCCAAATAACCTTCCTGACATGGCAAGACCTACAGAAACATAAGTCCCAGTCAGTGTAGCTTGTTGGGTCACTGCTGTTTTCAAGCCCGACCACCACGACAAGGTAGTGGTTGTCGACTGGGCACTTGACAGGACTCACCAAACATCAGATAGATTTCATATCACTCTCAAGAAAGTGGAGATGTAGGTTGCAGCAAAGACAGGACCTCAAATGAACAATAGAGAAGAGAGATAACGATAGCCAGCCGACTACAGGCACTAATCACTATCGACGGGACAAATCTGAAGGTGGGAACTTTTTCACTTATCTAGGGAGCATCGTTTCAACCACAGGCGACACGGAGGAGAATGTGAAAGACAGGATCGGAAAACTAAGATAGACATTCATTACTCTGAAGTCAGTGTGGAAATCTGCTAAACTAAGCATAAGAAAAAATATGTTTGCTGCTATGCAGTGTATGACTGCTCAGACTAATCTAAGTAGGATGCAAATAGTCCAGTATTTCGGATATCGCTTCCTATCAACGGACAATTGTATATGTTATTAAACTGAGTAATACCGAATCGTTCATTTGTGCAGTCTATGAAATGTTTTGTTATGTGTTAGCAATAATATGATATATGGTTTCAGTGACGAATGAAGATGACAAAGATGTAACTTTCCAGATTTCAAAAATGTGCTGACTCAACGTTTACAAGGGGTAAGTCTTTCACTTAAGTGATTTGTTGTAGTGGTGTGCATAATTACGTTTAGTTTAACAAATTCAGGAATCATCGAATAGCCGAAATTCCATAAAGTACTGAACACAAGCTATAGATAAAAGCACAAATCTGGAAAATATACGATCAGTTCTGAATTTCGCTTCTAACTTTTGTACTCTGATTAAATCGCGACTCTACTTTATCTTTGAGAGTCAGTAAAATTTTCACTCAGAAGACATATTCAATCTAAATATAATTTTAAGTCAACGTTTTTTTGAACAAAGTTGCATTACGAATATTGATCGCCTGCATCTTCTCTTAACCATTTCATTTATTCTGCCTATCGTTTTGTTTTTGATAAGACACATATACGTCAGGCAGTCTACATTTTCTTTAAATTAAATTTAAATATGTTAAAAGTATTTATATGAATGCTAAACTAAACTTGTCACACAGATTATTACTAACCAATCTGATTTTTATCATTTACAAATGCACATACACAATATCTTGTCTATGCTCATTAGTGGTCTTATTTCATTGACCTGATGACGTAAAATTTAGCTGATTTGTCAAGCTTTACTGTATATATATTGGCATTAAATGCATGTATAGACTCAAACTATCAATTTACAAAAATTCCGGTGATTATTATATTACGTGACTTTATAACGGCTGGACTGATTGCATCCAGTCATACCACTGATTGATTCATCTGTCATTATCCCGAAAAACGGATTTATTTAAGTGAATAGACACCTTCAAAGTTAGTATACTGAACACAGTTCGCCTTACCATATTCACTATAAAATCCTTATTATGGAGAGTCAATTTTTACCAGAAATCGATCCAGAATTGGATTACCAATACAATACTACAAATTGGCTTATTAAAACTAGAGAACCAGGTTGTTTCGGAGACAGTGCAATCAAACACCTTATGTCAATTCTCCTTAAACAAAGTGAACTTTCAAGATCATTATTTTCGGATAGAGGTGTTTTCAGAGTTCCATTCAGTGACGATATTGTGCTTGAGGAAGACGGTTTCGGAGAATATTCTTTCGATTGGTTTCCCCCAGCAAATCCGTCAGTATCACCAGCAAATATTGTGGTGTATATTCATGGTGGTTATTGGAAAGCAATTGGATGGAGAGAGTGTAGTCATTGGGCTCTTCCAATCGCCAATGCTGACTGTATATTCGTTTCTTTAGCCTATAAACTAGCGCCAAAAGAAAAACTTGAGCTCATGCCACAATGTTTATGTCTCGGAATGCAAAAGGTCATAAACCTTACTCAGAAAATGTTCAGCCAGCAGGATGTTACGAAACTCAATATCACCTTAGTTGGTCATTCCGCGGGGGCTCATTTGGTACTTGAAATGATACATCATGCTCAGAAGCAAGTTGCAGCAAATGAAAATTGGCTGACTTGTTTGAGGAATCTTGTTTTAATTTCAGGTGTATATGACCTGCGTCCAATCATTAGAACAAATGTGAACAAAGCATTGAAACTTAAATCAGTTGAAGAGGCTTGGTGTGTAAGTCCTATCCGCCATTTCATGCAAGATGATGTAAGCATGTTGCTACAAAAACCACTTCACTGGCTTGTTGCTTGGACGGAATATGAATCACCAGCTATGCAGAAACAATCTAAAGTTCTAACAGAAATGTTAGACGAAGCATCAAAAAGAAACAAGCAGTTTACCTACGAGTCGTTCTGCATCGAAAATGAAGATCATTTCACAATTATCCTAGGACTTCATAATGGTTCGAATAGCAGTTGTATGTTGGAAAAGATCCTGCAGTTAATCAACAATACATGCAACTGACGAACAAAAATTCATACCAACTTATAAAAGCACATTTTTCCGGAAATGCACATTCTCTTTTATAAACTTTCCTGTACGATCAAATGGTATTGCTATAAATTCAGTAAAAGCCTCAATTCGATTCTATTTCCCCGCCAACTAGCATCTCATAAAATATTTAATAATAATTCCGAAATTTATTTTACACATATTTTACTGCTATTCTCACATATTAATAGGTTTTTTCATAATTCCCATCAACGTTACTTTTTCTAATATGTTTTTGGCTTTTCTTTTTTGTTTGAAACGTTGATCTACCAGTGTCATTTTGATTCGCTAAATAAATACCTTCAGAAAGCTGGCTTCTAATGAGATATTCAACATAGCTATTCTGACATTACACGCCAAGCTCAAGGTTTCCACCTACGATGTCCCCCTACGGTTTGCAAATCATACAACTGGCAGTGCCTTACGAAGCCTCGCTGTTGATGTACGTTACACCGAAGAGATCTGCACAGGTCTCTAGCACTCAACTCAAAGCTACATTTCATGCGAACGTTCCTGGAGTCCCTGTGACATCGGATCTTCCTTAGCTGGTGTCAAGGTCACACTAGGAGCTAGAACAAAAATATTACTCGGTTGGATTCTCACTAAAAATTGTTTACTTGCTGTTAGACTAGAACAGCATATTTGAGTAAAAAATAAATAACTATACAAGTTACTTTGTAGTCATCTCTGCTTACACTGGATGCAAATTAGAGATGGGTCGTACTAGATAGGTCGTACCTAAACAACCTAAACTAACGCGCTAGACAAATACCTTAGTAGAACTTGGATGCACAGGTTGGGCATCTAGGCGAGCATTGTATATATGGTTAATGGGGACTGTCTTCTGCTTCTCTTCGCAAACTAAAACCTATATCTAGTCAGTACAGCTACACGGTATCCTCCATCTGTCTGCTAAATAGGAAGTAGCACTAAGTAACTACCTGCATTCATGTGCGACTGACAGTGGGCCACAACTAATGTATGGGGACGGATATGCTACTGAACCAAAGTTACTCAAATAGATCATACTGTTATAAGTTACCGATGGGGCGGATGTTTACGGACACAGGTGAACATAATGAATTGCATATGGCTTTCATACACAAAATTAAATAATGTTCATATACGGATCATGAGTTCCGGTGGTTAAAATGGGGTGAGGTGGAAGCAGCAGTTAAATCGGGTTGGAAACTGTTCCGGCTCAAAACACAGAGCATAGTGTCACACAGACGGTTTGTGAGGCAGTTGGTACGCCGATTAACAGCCCACAAAGACGCTTGAAATGCTGGGGAAGGGACTTTAGAAAACAATTTAACTGGCTCATACCGCTGGGACGCAATATCCTGGACACTACTGCAGCCAGCATTGAGCAGTGGGATGAGTGTCTGGCACGCATTTGTCACTGTCAACATTGTTATAAGATATTGTATAATGAAGGTGGTATAGAGGCTTTTATAAGAATCTTTCATTACCAGCCAAATAAAAGTTTAAAGTTAGCCACTTGAATTTCATTCGATTACATGTCTGTTGGTTAGAAAGAATGATTTGGCTTCGTAGAATTCCCACTGACTTTCGAAACCTCAGAGGAAAAATTGAACCTGCTATTCCAGTTCATAGAGTATTTTAGTAGTTTTGAATTTTCTTCGGATTTAAAGAAAGTGCACACCAAATCTCCCTTGCATTTCTTGATTACGCAATGCGAACAGATTTTCTCACCATTTATATCCCATATGGTTTTTCTGGTTACTCAAAAACTTTTACTGCAATATTACGTCTCTGTAGGACTAAACCCTTCATATCTCTTGAGCTGTGCTGTGCAATATATTATAATTTGATATTATTACAAACGGTCCTTATTAGAGACCTTTATTTCAACCATAGTCGTAGAGTTGGCATTCTACAATACCCTACTTCAAAGAACGTAACAACTTAGACCCATTATTAGAACAAAGGCCATAAGTGAATTCGAAGATACAAAAAATTACACATGGAAAAGTTGTGTGGGAGGGAGAGTAGGTTGGTTAGACTCAAATGAAAGATGTATAGAAAAAAAAGCTACCTGTGTGGATTAGGTAAATTGTAATGGAACAGCACAGTCAACAATATGTCAAGCACGCTGGGGTAAGACGTGAAAATCAGAACACAGACTCGGGTCGAAATACTATTATTACCAACCGTCTCAATAAGAGTTAAAGTTATGTACGACAAAAGAGCTAGGCTATAACTGTTCAGCGACCACCGGGTCTTGAACTGACGCCTTCTTTTCAATTCGACCCACTACACAATATAACATCATTTTACCCGCGGCACTATTAAGACAAACTGAGGAGTCGACTACTCATTTTGAGCTCTATATTAGTCATCAGAAGCTGTTTACACTTAAATCGCCCATTACTTGGATCCATAACCCTCAGTTATTTTGTACTCAGTTCCTAACAATGGAATAAATCAAAGCTTGACTGAATTATTTTTAATCACTAAGAAAAGAAAGTCACATATCTTAATATAGTATGCTTCGTTAAATGCATTCTGCACAACTGGTTTCAGTAAAAACAGATTTGGTTACCTTAGCGAAAATCTTGACAAATGCTATGCCATGAATTTTGAAATCTTCTTTCAAAGTACCACCAATTAAAGTTACATCGAATTTCCTCGTAGTTATTTCGCCCAATAGGAACGTTAACAAATGTGAATATCTACATATATGCCAGTTCTTGTTGGAGTACACCACGCTATGCAAGTCGGAATTTGTTATTTTTCTTAAGTCAACGAATCAATAAGTTCTTATAAGAACTTCACATCGCGACGTGAATTGGTGGTCTTCAATATCCTATGTCTTGCTCAGCATTGGAGGCATCGTGGTCAAAACTACTACATAATTGGTAAAATCCATAATTAAAGTCCCATTTTTATGTGATACTAGGGATAAACACTCTTATTATTACTCCACAAACCGGAAATGACATTTTGCCAAAATCCAAAATAGGTGAGGATAAACACCATCGAGTTTAAATTGACATCACTTCTGGTTTCCTAATCATTCTTTGTCTAGAACAGTGGCAATTAATTTGATTTTTGATAAGTAGGTACTGTCAGATTCAGATTATAAGGATAGAAGGCTCTTGTTTCCTGTGTTAATCCTTGCGATATATCTCTCCATTTACTCAGTTTCTCTTTGAAAGCGTTCACCTATGGGGCTGTTACAAGTGAATGAGGTTAGGAGTTCCATTCGCTTACCACTCTGTGAGGGAATCAGTATTTCAAATCGTGGAAAATACCCATCAGGATATTAGAGTGTAAATAACAAGAAGTCAAATAGGTCATCAATTATGAGGTGGTCGTTGTTCATTCTCCCAAGTACATCTGTCAGTTGCTCTTCCATCTGTTCCGACTTTTCCGGCAGCAACTCTAAGAGTGATATTCTCTATCCTCCCACTACTTTGGAGCAACGGGAAGGACAGACGTCTGCATATGACCAAATCAGCGTGCATATATCTGTTCATCTGCTCTTGCGGAGCAAGGTACATAGGTCGTTCTATTCGAGTCTTATCAAAACGTTTTAGAGAACGTCATCCAGCATGGCTGCAAAGAGGAGGCGCTGGTTTAATTAGAAGCGCAATAACTGAACATCTCGTCAATACCTGTCACAGAATCTCAAGTGGCTCATCATTCAGAGTCATTTACAAAGTAAACAAAAATCCAGCAAAGGCAGAGTGTTTCTGACTTCTAAGTACTGTAGAAGCTCTCGCCATATGCATCGGAAAGTCAGAGCTATGTGTTCAGAAGAAACTAGTTCAGCTTGTACAACTGCCATGGACTTAGTTCAGTATGTTCCCTTATCCTTCAGCTTTATGTTTTGTTCTCTCTGTCTGCAATTTTCTCTCTTTACCTTCATTCAATTCATCCCATTTATTTTCACTTATAAAATCAGTTATTTTAAGTTTGTTTCCATGATCCTTTTGATCACACTTGTAATCCGTTTAGAATAACCATTTTACAATTATATTCTAATCCTGTGTAGTATTTTGTTTCTATACCTCTTGTAATCTATATTCACACCTCCTAACTTACATTTCAAGTTGAAAACTTTGATTTCAATTCGTTTCCATGCTCATTTTATTCACACCTGTAATTCTTTCTATCCCTGGGTAACTTTTGTTTCAAAGCCTCTTGTAATTCATATCAAGTTGAAAATAATTATCACCTTTTATTCGCCTTTAAAATTATTTCTCCAGTTATCAAATATTAATTTTGCATACTTTGTAACTGTTTTCTATTCCTATGCTATCTTGTCTCTAAGCCCCTTGTAATCTATATTTGTACCTTCATACTTTCATATCAAGTTGAAATTATTATCTCCTTCGTTACTATGGGGAATTAAATAAATAATAATTGATCCATGTAAACTAATGTATATAAATGCTATTGTACAGCTTTTGAGAATGAAATCGCCGAAAAAGATATCTTTGCTGAACTTCTTGTTATTTTCAATGTAATTTCCACACGTATTTTGTTCGGCCTCGGTTTGAGCACCTACTTGTGGTGAAGTCGTAACTGTATCCTGACATTACCCTCCAACTATCCCACCTTGCTCATTATAGCGATATTTTTACACAGTCCGCCTGAAAGACTAATCACTACAGCCAATATTCTAAGTGTGTGACGATTTGTACGGTTGTGTTATGCGTGGTTCGCAAGCAACTGTGATAAATATAAATTTAAAATTTGACTATTCTTACGTTGTTCCTCCGTTTTTTATGCAGATATATTGCTCTTTTCGATGTACCCTCTTGAGACTTGTTAGCGTTTATGGTAGTTATCAGTGACTACGATCCCGTGGGTCCCAATGCATATCTTGAGTTGTAGTTATGCGTACAATATAATGTACTTCAATATTTCCCACTCACATAGTCTAGTCTGTTTTTCTTGCGAATTGACTGTGACAAGCTGTGGCGAAAATGTGCTTCTTTAAC